GAGAGTTCGATTTAGGGATGTTGGAACGGGAGCACAGTGCCTCTCCAGCTCTCGCTTCAGCCTCACAGAGAATGTCACGTGGAGACTGGCTGCCAGCGAGCCCTCTCCTCATCGCTGTCTTCCCCTGCTTACAAAGGCTGGCTTCCTGTCTCGCCACGGGCTGGGGTTTAATGAACTGGCAGCTTTAAAGAAATGCTGAAGGCTCATTTTTCTTTTTTTACATGCCCAGCCCGGTTTGCAAAAGACGCTGCCTTTTGAATGGTGGCCGGGGATGGGGTAGTCTAATCTCCCTCTCTCCGCATTTGGAGAGTGGAGCTATGTTTCTGGCGCTCGGGGTCTTTCTGGAGACCTCGTCTTCTTCCTTTCTTTTGCCTGGCTAATTAAGCAGAACGGCCTTATCAGCCAGCACACACTGCCAGCCCCACAGAAGGAGAATTAACTCTGCCTGCTGATAAGCCATTGTTCCACACACCCCCACCCCTCCCCTCCTCTCCCCCCAAACCCCCACTCCCCCTCCCTCCCCAGTCTCCACCCCTCTGGAGAAACTGCGGCTCAGTTCATTCCACCGCATTAAAAAAAGACCCAAACCCTTTGATGTTCTGGAAATTTCCTTATTATCATATTTTGCTTTCTTCAAAACCGCTTTTAATTCAGTGCTTTGTTAAAGTTTCGAAATTGACAGCTCTGCGCAAAGTATCATAGTGTTTTTCTTTCTGGTGAGCTGTTATGCAGAGGCTTGGCCTTTACCAGAGAAAGAAAAGCAGTTTTCCTACAAGGGAAGCAGGAATAGGACTGTGTCCCTGACTCTTTGTCTTTGGAGGCAGCTTGACAAAGATAAAGGCTTGATCTTTAATAAGTATTTACAACTCGGAAACCATTAGAATGATAGCGCACTTCCCAGCAGTGGCACTTCCAGAAAGGAACATCTTTCAGGATGGTGGGGTCGTAAAAAAGTTGCTGTGAATTATGGGTATGCAACTATTAATTAGCTCCGGCAGTTTCAAGTGCTAGAAACCAGAACTGTCTAATTGTGCTGTGCGTATATATATGTTCCATAAACAATGTGGAATTAGAAGTCTAGACAGCTCTACTTTCTAAAGAAAAGAAGCAGATAAAGATAATTCATATTCATGTATACATGAATGCGCAGAGTGTGGCATGGAGGTTGGTGGTGGGTATTGTTGCCTTGCAGCGCTGGTTTTTGATTCTCTATGCTCACCAGGGTTTCCTCCAACAGTCTAACGATGAACGAGTAGGTCAATTGGCTTCTTGGGAAACTATCTCTGGTGTGAGTGTGTGAGTGTTTGTGTCTGTGTGTGTGTCCTTCGATGAACGGGTGTCCTGTCCGGGGTGTATCCTGCCTTGCTCTTGTTGCTTGCTGGGATAGGCTCTGGTCCCCCGTACCCTGAACTAGAAGAAGTGTTTAGAAAACGGATGGATGGACATGAATATGCTGTTCATGCTGCTGAAATACAGATAGTAGGAAAATGGTAGGCAAAACAAACCAGGAGAGGTTTTTGTTCAATGTACATGTACCAATCTAACACAGACCAAAGAATGTTATAAGGATCAAGATTTCGACCATAACTTTTTTTTTCATTTCTGGTCAGATGACAGAAGTGTTACCACCTTCTTACCCGATTTGGTTGAACCCAAATGCTTAGCAAAGCTGGGCCTGGTCAACACTAGGTTGGGAGACTAGAGAAAATCAACATGCTGCAGTAAGTGGTGTTGGTGGACCAGTAGGGGGCGCTTCTTCTTCTGGATCAGAATTTCTAAAGCAATGACCCAGCATTGTTGCCAGGTCTATAGGTGTTCTCCTTTAGACAAGGTGTTTAACCATGGTCATTAAAGATTCCATAGCACTGATTATAAGCACAGGGGTGTTAACTCCGGTGCTCTGGTTAAATTTCACTGTGGACTTGTACAGTCTGGCCTTTCTAAAACTCCCCTTTAATTCAGCTGATGATATAGTTTCTTACTTCTCCACCTGACTGTTGTACAATGGGGCTACTGATGCAGAATGGCTGCTGTGTGTTACGTAGGCCCCCTCCTATATGTTCTTCGAGATTCTTTCAGATGAAAAGTGGTATACAAATAAAATTCTTATGATGGAACAAGTAGTAGCTAATTTCACAAAAACCTGTAGGATAATGTTAATGTTTCTCCTCATGAGCCTGATTATTTTTAGTAGGACACAGGTTACATCCAAAATTGCAATGAGGGACTTCTCAATGGAAAAACATTTATTTGTTTTGATTTGTCCAGAACCCTAGATAACTCGTTCAGGAAGAAAGGCCAACTGCGCAGCAGAGGTTTGATGCATATTCCTGTAAGTCAGCAGAGGGTTTTTGTCAAGTCAGGTCAGTATACACCTCAATGGTTTTGGCAGACTCTCCTTGGTGGCCTGTGCCTCTGCTGTCAGATACGCTGAGGCTCTGAATCAGCCTGAGGACTGCAGATGCCACAGGAAAAGTGAGGGGGCTGGAGAATTGTGTTCTAGATCTGACTGAGACGTAGGAAATTTAAGTACAGTAAAAACGAAGGGCAACTGAATGGAGTTCTAGAATCCCTGAGAGCTGGGAGACTTCGGTAAAAACCAGTACCACTATGAAAGGGGTTCTAGAATCCCTGTCTGAGAGCTGGGAGACTTCAGTAAAAACCAGCACCACTGTGAATGGGGTTCTAGAATCCCTGTATGACAAAGGGTGCTTAGACGGGGCAATACAAGAAAGAACTACCACCCCAGTTGAGAAGCCGTGACTGTCCAAGACTGTCCTCACACTCGACATCAGTACACTAATAATATTCGTTATTCCTCTGTTTCCCCACGATAACTGAGCACTGATTTTGTCCCCCATCTAAGAAACATACATTGAAAAGCTGGTAAGGCTTTGTATTGCTGAAAGAGTTCAATGAAGCAGTGCTGATTCTCAAACAGGGCAAATACTAAACACAATGTTCTTCACCCTAAGAAGGCTCCACAGCTGAAACATTGTGTTTCTTTCCCTCTCTTTTCAGCAGGGAATAAATCTTTACCTGTTCCTTTGCAGCCTACGCATGCTGACGCAGCTCCCTACTTGAAATACAAAACACTACACAAACACAAAATATAACTGACCCTAACCTGATACCTAATCTGAAATTAATGGTATGAGAAAATTCTAACACAGTAATAAAACTAAAATCAAACATTAATAAACTGATTACTTAAATAAAAATAACCTACAGATAGCTACTAAAAATGCAAGAGATGAAGTTACAAATCCAAGTAGTGCAAATGTATTATACAGTATATGTACTATATACAGTAAAATGTTCAATAAGCAATCTACCAAACTAACAGAAACAGCATGCTGCAAACTGTTATGATGTATCTGTGTCAGTGTTACCAGTCACCACTCACTACTGGTTCTTTAAAGTTGAATATGTCTTCTTTCAGAACCTAGTATTCACTGTGGGGACTTTGTGTTTCAGCATGAAGTCAGATTCTCCCTTCATTTGGAAGGTACGGCATTATTCACAACCACTGCTGGCTGTTTTATCAATATGGCTGCCATTAAAAAGGTGTTTGCCTTTTCTTTTTGGCTCTTTCAGGTTCTTGGTATGGGGTTCCTGCCCCAGACAATCCAGTTACAGGCTGTTACAGAGATTCTCAGCACAGGTGTTCCAAAATAAGCATCCTTCAGTGTACAGAGTGGAGGGATGACACTGTCAGAGCAAGAAGCCACTAACAACCAGTACAATAAGGTCCACCTGGCTTCTTCTTCAGGTTTGTCACTGTGTAAGAATATAAAAAGCAGGACAAAAACAATAACCAGAATCTCCTGGAAAGTTTTTTTTATTAGTCTTCCTTGACTGCACAACTGTGCAAAGTGCATTTTTCCCCCCCAGCGCCGTAAAGTAAATTAGAGAAAATAATTAAAACCCATGTTCAAAGGAATCCAGTTTTACTCGATTGGTCTTTTGTGTTTGGCAATAAATGGTATCTAGATGTGGTAATAAATGGTATCTAGCCTGCAACACCTGATCTTTGCAAATGAAGATTATCTCAGGTAATAGAGTCCAGCATGACTATTGTTAGAGCTTTTATGCCGTAACTACAGTGCACTGTTACTTCCCTCCTAATTATCATAGTGCAATAGAAAAATCTAATTTGGGAACTAATCACGGAGGTTTGTGCTGCTGTATATATAAGGTAGGGACTTAGTCAGCACTTCTAGCAGCTCTGGAAGTGCTGGGCAAGCAGTGAAGGCAGCAGTGTTATCAACCTGGCAGAGGTTCACAGTCTGTCGGTTTTATTACATGCTCTGATTGCGGCTCTCACTCCAGCTGGCTCCCAGCCTGACCCTGTGACCCCTCGCCAAGGCCAAGGCTGGGGCGTGACGCTAATTGCCATGGCAACCTGACAGCCTGCACCTGCCCCCTGACCTGTGACCCCACACGCAGCCAGTTTCCATGGCAATCTAAGACCCAGAATCCTATTACCCCAGCGTGTTTGTCAGGAGGGAGTTAAACAACAGCAATATAAGTGCAGTAATCTGTAGGCGCAGCCTGCAAAAGTGGGTTCACTTATCCTTTTCTATCAGTGTGCTGCTGACTTTGAATAAGCAGCTATACACACACTGGCGCGGCTGTGAGATGGATCGGTCATTTATGTGCTCTGTATGAATCTGAAGTGGACTGATTGTCAAGATTTGGCTGAAGGAGCACAAGGAAAAATGAGCTATTTCCCTCAGTGTATGTCAGTTTTGCAGGGGCTGGAGCACTGTGTACACAAAAACTAAATGTGCAAATAACCACAGATGTCTAAAATACCTCACCTCAATAAGCAAGACCAAAAACGTGTTGGTCAAGGCTCACAGTCCTGTGAGGTCAAGAAAGCTAAACAGGCCACACTGAAGCCTGCTTGGTAAAAGTGTACCCGGACAGAGACTATCTAAGTTGAGCCCCTTCACCTTGGTTTCAGGGAGCCTGTAATTTAAAGTGAAGCCCCTTACCTGTTGATAGGCTTCTTTGGTCCGCAGCGCCTCCTGCATCTGCTGGGGGGTGTAAGTGTAGATGGCGGAGCGGTACTGAGTGCCAACGTCATTCCCCTGGCGCATTCCTGCATGGAGAACACACACAGCGCAGGGGTCAGGGCCTGGCGCTCTGCAGGACAGAGCCCCTGGTCTAGCTGGGCACCAGCCTGCACCACAATCGCACCTCTCCTGTGTTCCCAGTGGTGGGTCTCACTCTTTCCATCTTCCACCTGCTTTTCTCAGCCTAGTGAGGGAACCAGCTACGGGGATACCCCGAACTGCTCAAGAGCGGGACTTCTCAGGAGCAGCTATACCTCAACACTCCTACTGACCACTGTGCGGATTTTCTCAGCCAGGCCACTTCATCGTGCACAGAAAACAACATAATGTGTTTGCATTACAATCCATTTATTACTCTCTTTCTGGGGATACCTAAACTCCTCTGTTCTGTACAGATCTAAACCAGCAAACACACTTTGTGCTTTAAAACACCCACCCCAGATGGGGCTCAAGGCTAATCCCATTCTGTGCAGAGCCTGATGGCCATCTTCAATTACATCCATCAAACGGCCGACAGCCACAAAGATCTCATTCATCGGGGGCAGCAGATGCCTGTCATTGTCCCCGACGAACTGTCCCTGCGGTGTTCCGAGTCCATTCACCTTTGCTGCAAATTGTCAACAAAACTGCCTGGGACACTGACCTCGCGTGACCTGGTTGGGGGGAGAAAGAGACTAGGTTTGCTGCGATCAAGGTCGGAGAAAGACTGGTGAAACCCAGCACGGCTACGTTTCTGAAATGTACTGGCTGTTGCTCATCTAAGCTACAGAGATGTCAGGCCTCCTTGTGATCTGGTACACATGAGGTCTCGTGCACACTGAGACTGGCAGTTCACGACAACCCTAGAGATGTTTTAATTGGAATGATCCAACAAAACTGTTAGGACAGGAATGAGAAGCAAAAGACCCTTCCGTACTTATGTAAGAGAATACAAACATGCTCTAGAACTAATACCCGCTGATTCATGACTTAATTGAATTTAGGATAAGAGGGCTTTCAAAACAATGCTTTGCATCAGATATCATTCAAAGCAATTTGAAATGGAGCTTCAATGACTCGCTCTGAGTGGGTGACATCACTGGCTTTGAATCAAACATGTGACATCAACATCTTCCTAAAAAAGATGTGACATCACCACCTTTCTGTCAAACATGTGACAGCACCATCTAACAATCAGCATGACAGCGCCGTGCGAATCACAAGGTAAGATGTTTCAAACGAAAGTGCAGGAGGAAGGGGGCTCCCAGTGACACAGCAGGCTGCTCAAAGAGCAGATTGAGCCCCGTGCTCATGATGTTGCGGGTCTGAGCCCCGGTCACAGGTGACCAAGAGGACCTGTTCTGACTGATGAGTGTGTCCAAGGAGGAGGTGTGCAGGTCTCTTGAGTCTGTAGCAGCAAAGTCAAGTCATAAATAACAGCAGAGTAATTCATTAAGATAATTGGTGATTTGAAATTTGGTAGAGTGACAGAAAGGGCAAGACTCCCATAAGACATCACAACAACCACCCAGTAACCATTATGACACACAATACAAAACGTCACAAGCTTTCCTCAGAGACGTTTTCACCCCTTCTCCTCACATAAATCTCTCCCTCTTCTGTGCTGTGCTGCCCATCTTCAAAGGGGAAAGACAACCCCCTTTTCAAACACTTCATCCTGCTGCGCCATCAGAGGGACCATGAATTATTAATGAGCACCACCCAACTCTTCATTAATTATTCATAAGCGCCAGCCCCCCCCACCCCCCCCAAAGGGGGAGGGGCAGCACTTTAACCTGCTCTTGCCTAAAGGTCTAGGAGTGCGCTGTCACTAATAAAAGTCCTCTTTTAGGTATAATAGCAAGAAAGTGAAATATGAAGGTAAATTGAAGTTATCAGTATATAATTCCATAAATTATGACATAGTCCAGCCATCTACAGGTCTAAAAAAAAACATCACAAATTTGAGTACTACAGTAATATTTTTGCTGATCTAATAATTTCACGGTAACATCCTACTTTTCAGGCTGACGTTCTATAGAACCTATGAGTCTGTAGCTCTTTGTTCAATGTTCACCTATTTACTACTCAAGTGTTGTTGCCATCTTTTAAGGGGCCGATGATTTAAATAGGCCTGTAAAACCTGGTTTGGACTAAGGGCTTTGTGGACTGGAGTTCCAGTCTTTACTGAAAATAACTAGAAATCCATCCATCCATTATTTCCCAAAAAGCAATGCACCAAGCTACTACTTAAAGCAAAAAGTGTGAGGAATGACCACTCCCTGGAGCACACACAAATGTACTGTATATTGTATTGTATATAGCGTATACACACAAGCCAGCAGGCACAATTCAAAGATGTCAACTCATCTCCCCAAGATAGTGAAGGAGGACAGACTCGTCTGCCCAGCTCGCGTTTTATCATGTCGCTAGCGTCATGGCGCCAGAGCAGAGGTTCCGTGCCAACAGGGGGCGCAGTGGCTGTCGAGAGCCGAGAGAGCCAGTGGCGACTCTTCCGGCCCTACCCTCAGCTCAGCTGGCTGTGCTTTGCTAACTGGGGGTTCCTGGCCGCAGTCGGCCAATGAGGTGGCACAGGCTCGAACCCGTGGTCACAGAGCGTGTGCGAGGGCCTTTATCAGTGAAACACCCAGAAGGCCTCTACACAGCTTTTAACATTTTAGCACAGTTGTGGCTTTCCAAGGCTCGTATCATGCTTCACACCGTGGTACATAATACAAGACATTTCCAAAGCAAAAAAGGCCTTCTACACATGTCTTCTTCAGTGCAGTGAAAGATAACATGTTTCTAGAGCACATAGTAGCAGACTAGAGTATGGTATCTGATGCAAAGCTTATTCGCTAGGTTATTAAAGTGCAATACATATTGTTGGCTCCACTTTCCTTATATACCAATGAGATGTCTTACAAGTTTACTGAACACTCTCAACATCCAAACTGGCAGCAGCACTATAAAGAGGCCAATACTATGCCACAGGGGAAATAAGACCTTTGACATTTAAAAATATGACATTTGTATATACTAGGTTTTCTCATTTGCATCAAGTATTATTCTTTTCATACCATTCCAATTCACGCGGCACGAGAGGGATGAACACTGCACACCCCATCCTCCAAACTGTACCATCAGAGCTCTCCTCCCCAAGACCACAGAGCCTTAATGACAGTCAATATCAGATGGAGGAATGAGACAACCCACACTGACAGCGCAGCAGGCTCACAGGAGCCCCGCTGCTGTTCAGCAAGTCAAGGACACAATGGTCAAGTTAAGCCCAACCCAGATCTCACAGCACTCAGGCAAGGACCTTCACAGTGAACAGCTGTTTGTTCCCAGTGCATTTTCTAGACAGCCCGCCTGGAGTTCAACACATGCTCCTCCGCAAAACCAAAAATGGGCTTCTTTCTGTTTCATTACTGAATTAAATCAAAACTTAAACCTGCCTTCCAAAAAGACATTACAAACCCTACTGTACCACAATGTTCTCCCTGATGGAAAAAACGCCACCAGGATCTGGGCATGTCACTTACAATTAGCAGGTTGGCTGAGTGCTTGATTTATTCTTTTTAATGCCTAAGCCGTTTTTCCATTTGGAGTTATCAAAAATGACTTGGGAGAAGCATAAAGGCTGATGGTTCATTCTGATTTTCCAAGTCATCTAGCAGACCCTTTTATCCTCAGCGACGCGAAGAGACCAGAGGGCAAACTCCAACATCAACAACTGCTCCAGTAGAATCACCAGCAGCCTGACTGCAATTCGCAGACTCATCTGAAGGACAAAACATGAGAACATATGAAAGGCTACAACCGAGAGGAGGCCCATGTATCCTGTTAGGTAGCATGGATTGACCTGAGGATTTTCTCCAGCTCTTTCTTGAAAGCAGCTAGGGGATCGGCATCTTCAACATGGCTAAGTAGATTGTTCCACATTGCCTCAATATTTCTGGTTTTAAATGCATTCCCCATATTGTCTACTTGTTGAAGGACATGGAGGTTCAAGATCAGAATTCCACAGAATGAATGGCAGGAACTAGATGTTGAACTGGATAGCACCTGGTAAGAAAACCTCACGGTGCTAAAACAACTAGCTTCCATCATTCTGGAATCCATTTCTGCTCGAACAGAAATTGAAGACTAAAGTAGTCAAAGTTATCGTGCAAATAGGAATGGGAGTGCACAATTTATAGATCTCCTTTCCATATTCACACTAGGTTACTACTGCTTCCTTTAGAAGGTATGCACAAGAACAAGCAGTCCTTGTAGGTTTCAACTGGACCTGCTGAGCACAAAAGCAAACAAATTCATGTTTCCTTCAGAAATGACAGTGTCAGGATTCCCTTGCCCCTGAGCACTGGGAAGGGCACAGTTCAGATGTCACATTAATCTACTCCACCTTAATACTTTAGTAAAGTAGTAGAGAACTACACCAATCCTGGTCCCGAAAAACCACAATCTATCAGGGTTTCCTAGGTCACCCTCAGCCACCATTTTATAAAAACACAAGATTCAGCAATCAACTAATTCATTAAAGTTGCTAGTGGACAACTGTGGTCCTGGAAGGACGCAGGGTGCTCATGTTTTCCCTTAGCATAATATTTAGACTTCTGCACTGAACAGACAACCGAGTGGTAAAGTGGTAAAGTATTCTGCCGGCAATATCAAGTTGTCCTAGTAAACAATGTGGACTACCCCCCATCTCCACAGCTCTCCCATCCAAAATAACCCTTCTGCGTTGCCTTACTGGGTAGGGGAGGAATTACCTATGAGGAAGGAAACCAAATATATTTTTCTTGACATATAAAAGATGTATAAAATCGCTAGAGACTGGACTGGAGAAAACTAGACCCCTGGAGAGAGCTACTATATCAGGATGTGAAGATTTCTGCAGCACAGGAAACCTTCTGGGAGGTGGGGGAGTTTAGGGAGGGGAGGGGTAGGAAGAGATGGAGCAGCTGTCCCAAGACGCCAGATCTGCCCACCCAAGAGAGTGCGGTGACTAACACACACAAGCAGGACAGTTTGGTCCCACATT